GTTTAGAGCGAAGCGAATATTCGCATCGCGTCCGGTCTGAACGCAGCATTAAAGCGAGCTCTGCGCTGCACTGGAAACGCGCCATTATATCACCAGAAGTCCTAATTTAAGGGGTAATTTCTCCCCAAAAAAAAGTGTTTACTCACTATATCAAAAGTCCCACCAAAAATATTTTCCACCAGCCGCCACTGGAAACCAAGATATTTTATACCAAATTGTTATTGTGCTAGTAACCCCCAACTTTTAAAAATGTAATAGTATTCTGGTAACATCTTTTTTTATGCACTGTAGGTCAATACTGGATTATTTCTCAGAGTTTCAGTGTGCTTTCCTCTGCAGAAGAGTACAGTCTGTCCTACACTCCCTTCTGTTAATGACAAATGAGTCAAGCAATTGGCAGCAATCCAGCAGAGTGAGTCAGTGTGTGTTCATGCTATACATTTACATGTGTAAGTGTGCACACTGATGTAATTTGATGTTTCAGTAAGCTAGGAATAAGACTGCTGATAAAAGAAGGTGAGCACTAGGAAGTCAGCAGGGTCCTTCTCATCAGTGATTGGCTAGGTCATGGACACCTCACACTGTAGCAGTCAAAGGGTTGAAGCTAATCAATACACACACGCACACACACACCAACCACAGGCTGTTTTGCAGGCAGCTGTAATCAGTCTGTGGCAGCAGAGATTGATTCTCCCTTCCCTCGTACTTCTTTTTCAGACTCTCTGTTTACCCTTTTTCTTTTTCCCCCTGACTGGATGACTCGCTCTTCGTCGTTGTCATCCCATTCATTATTGTTTTCCCTCCCACTGCTCTTTTTTTCTTTCTCTGTCTCTTTCTCTCTCCAAACTCGCCTGTCACTTGGTCCTCCCTCTGCGAGCACTCACTTCGTACTTCTCATCCAACCCAGTCTCACGGCATTTCGTGTTCACCAACACGATTTTTAATCTATTGATTCGTGTTCCCCAACACGATTTGCCCCTTTTTTTCGTGTTGCACAGCACGATTTTAAAAGCAATGTATTTCTATTGCCTGCAGCACGTCTTTTTCTCCGGTCGGGTCGAGGAAGACCTGAAGCTGTGTGGTTCATAAAAACATGTTCTTACTCAATATCAAGCCACAATTATTGCTTTTATTTTAAATCGTATAATTTCTGACTTTTGTTGCCGTCTGTGAGGAAAATAAATGGCTCAGAGCCTCAGAATACTGAAATCTGTATTTTTTAAAATATTTTTTTCCTTCTAATTTGTTATTATTTTCAAAATAACACACTGTTATTTACTCACCAATAATACACAATTATCCTTGATTTTATTTATTGGTTTAATTCCATAATCTCGGGCTTTTTTGGCGTCCGTCAGGAACTGAATTTCAAAATAAAAATAACCGGAAACAGACGTAGGCCTATAAGGGACATTTCGAGCGTCATTGCGATTGTCAACCTTTCTGAGTTTAGGATGGCCGAAGACACTACACTACCCATAATCCCCAGCTATCGTTTAGGACTACAGTCCCCCGTAAGGTTACGCAGAGCGTCAAACAGCTGTGTGAAATGGAACGAAACCACGACAGACTATCCAAAACTGGAATCGAACGCCCCCCCCAGAACTACACATGCTGGATGCTGGCTATTGTGTTTCGCCAAATGTTCTATGGGACGTCTCTACTGAACGTTTTCGTTTTTCCCACAATTAGAAGTTGCCAGTATTAAACACATTGGCGTTATCAAATGTAAACTATTATATATTATTTATTATAATTAATAAATGGGTGAAAATCGCTATATATACCCACATGACAGCTCATTGTTACTTTGTAATTCTACTCCACTACAATTCAGAGGTTAACCTGGTATTTTTACTCCACTGCATTTATTTGAGTTACTTTGCAGATTCTGATTAATTATGTGAAATATAAACAACCCTTAAATCAGACTATAGTTACACCTGAGTAAAATTCAGGGAAGGTGATTGTCAAGTGCCAACAATCAGGAGAGATATTTGATAGTTGGTGCTTGAGAAGACTAAACATGTATCTGCAATTGACATGAATGGAAACGAGTAATAAAGTATATTCATTACTTGTTATTCTCTACTAATAGTTAATTAAAGACTGTATATTATGGCTATTTTGCACATCCCTTTCAAGATTTTCAAAGGTTTATTGACATATCATATACACAACTACAGTGTAGTTATGCAATGAATGAAACACTTGGGTCACAGGTTCCTCAACAGTGCATTACAAGACATCTATCAATATGTGTGAACCTCCACCATTAAACTGTCATATTCTGCACATTTCTTATTCTATCTACATACATACGAGTATAATTCATATGTATAATATCAGTTAAAATAAGTGCTTCAACATAGTTAACATTGCAGGAAAGCAATATATTAGACGTTAAGTACTTTGTCAGGCTTAATATTTATCTGTAGATAGATACCCCCAACGTTTTTTTCTTATTTAAAAGAAGACCTTAATCTGTTATTTAATGTTTAAATAAAGGTTAATTCGTTTTTCTGTTTTGCACCTCCTCCTATTAATATCTTTGTACATGCTGCACTAAACTGTTTTATTGTAGAGATCACTTTATAGTATCTTCTTGATTTTTTATATTCTATATTTATACTTTCCCCCTATGAAAGTATGTACTCTTAATATTTTTTTAATCAAACACAATAATTCAATAACGTGCTTTAACCAATAGATGCACACAAGGTACACAAATGTTTTCCGGATTTCATATCATATAAACACCAAATCCCAGCATGCATTGTGGCTAAAACATCCAATAAGCGAGCTTAAAACCATAGCTGAGGATCTTGGGTAATGCCTATGTCCGGTTATTTTTATTTTGAAATTCAGTCCCTGACGGAGGCCAAAAAAGCCCGAGATTATGGAATTAAACCAATAAATAAAATCAAGGATAATTGTGTATTATTGGTGAGTAAATAACAGTGTGTTATTTTGAAAAGAATAACAAATTAGAAGGAAAAAAATATTTAAAAAATACAGATTTCAGTATTCTGAGGCTCTGAGCCATTTCTTTTCCTCACAGACGGCAACAAAAGTCCGAAATTATACGATTTTAAATAAAAGCAATAACTGTGGCTTGATATTGAGTAAGAACATGTTTTTATGAACCACACAGCTTCAGGTCTTCCTCGACCCGACCGGAGAAAAAGACGTGCTGCAGGCAATAGAAATACATTGCTTTTAAAATCGTGCTGTGCAACACGAAAAAAAATCGTGCTGTGCAACACGAATAAAAGGGGCAAATCGTGGGTACACAAATCAATAGATTAAAGATCGTGTTGGTGAACACGAAATGCCGTGAGACTGGGTTGTCTCATCACATCCTGTTCCCTCAGGTTTCCAAGCTTCTTTCTGTGTTTGTGTGTTTACCAGAGAGGGAATAGTTTGTTTGTTTCTGTTTTGTCCGGGACATGCACTCTTGCTAGTGATGTAGGACTTTTTTGTTCATATGTGTGTGTATACATATATGAACAAAACCGTGGGGGCCAATGACTGGCTGCATATGAAGGGCCGTGTAGGCCAAAATTCAAACTCACCTCGCACACACACTACTGAAATCCTCTCACATTCACTACTGAACACCTCACACACACACAACTGAAAATTAACCTCACGCACACACTACTGAAATCCTCTCACATTCACTACTGAAAACCACACACACACATTCCTGAAAAACATTTTACTGAAAGGTTCTCAGTAGGGAATGTGCATGTGTTTCACCTATGTGTGTGTGAGGGGGATTCTTGCTGTAAAGGAAGTCATTGTAATGAAACGGAAGTACCAAACTGCTCTGCAAGTGATCTCTTTGCTAGCCCTGTTAGCTTCATTAGCTCCAGGCTGCTACTCGGACCTGTTTGTTGTGTTGATGCCTGGTGGAGTATTCTTCATTGAAATATCGCACTTATCTTATGGCTCTGCGGTTCAAACAGACCGTCCATGAATGCAGTTTATTCGTTAAGTGAAATTCAATCACTTTATTTATTACTTGTCTTTTTATTCAGCTAACGAGCGAGACGAAGCTACATCTGTGCTAACGTTGCTATCCGTAGCATACAAGTTAAAACATAATAGAGAAGTGTAAAACATTAAGAAGGATTATACTGTAGAACAAAAGGCTTCTCGGTGAGGTTGGTAAAATAAGGTCATGCTTGTACATTAGTTAGTTTGCTAGTTAGGTAACTGTATGCATTGTTATTGTTAATTTAAAATAGCTATGCTCGGCGATGCAGACAGCTAGCGTCACATTAGTGTCGAAGAGCAGAGTACTGTATGAGATTAACCTCACTATAAGATCTGTGTATCTTAAAAATATGAATCTCACATTTCCAGTTGGCTCCAGAAATAACGTTAACGTAGATATTGGAGTTGATTATTGAAGCTTACTGGTTAACGTTCATCATATCAAATGAACGAACCCAAACGTTGTTTTTATTAATATTATTACCAATACTTACTAAGCATTATCATTACACTGGAGAAACCGACTTATGGTGGCAGCAGAACGTGCACATGTAACTTAATGCCTGCATTTAAGGACGATAGCGTAGTCAATGCTTTAGGGACAAGGATATGATTTGTTTAAATATTAGATATGACGGTATGTGTGCTTCTGTGACAATGAAGCTTATTCATTGCATTACATTTGTTGAAGATGTTTGTCTTTTACCCATACGTGTGTGTTACAAATGAATGTGAATATGGCATAGGACAAATATTTAAATTGACTGTCTCATGAAAAACGATTCCAAAATAACAATAAAAAATAAAAAGGACCCCAACTATACAATAATACACAATCCAACTGATAAGTTACAGTAAGGGCTGTGATATCCAGCACTTTTTTTAAGGATAACAAAAAGATTATCACATGACATTTGCATGTAAAAAAAGTCTGTGACCAACACATTGTTACTTTATATATATATATATATATATATATCTGTTTGTTTAAAGTTTCCAGGTGATGCAGACAGAACAGAGGATGCTGACCACGAGAGACAGACCTATTCCTAACATCAGTGAACTTCAGCATGGACTCAAAGGTACAAAGACTCCTTTCATACTGTACAAAGAATCGAGAAACGTTCTGGTTTAAATAGATAAAGTAACAACTATAATCAGCTTTCACATTTCAATGTATTTAAGGCAATTATTATTTTACATTGTGAGAATTACTACCATTTGTCTCTACATATTGTCTGTAAAAGACGTGGTAAAAGTGGTTATTGCAGAGAGACAACCGAGCAGTTGAATATTATTTAATAATAAGATATTTTAATGTTGATTAACTGCAGACTGTCCATTCACAATCTGATTATCTTTGTAGTACAAAGTGATAATAAAAAAAATACATTATTTCTACTGCCGCTAAATAAACAAACCTCTTTCATAAATAACACACTTGCTCTGCAATAATGTCATAGGTTTTATGTTTCTTGTAATTTCTGTTAGGAAAGGACATACCTGAAGGACACAACTGCCTTACCGTTTTCTCAGAGGGGCAAGAATAAAATGAAAAGCTGATATCAGATTAAAGACCAATACAGGACATTCAATAAGAAACTACTCTTTTATTGTCGAGACAAAAGTCAATATGTAATAATATCTGTGAAAAACGGACTGAGAAATAATGATGTGTTTTCGTTTAGAGTATTATTATTATTATTATTATTGTATTGTTCAATACCAAGAGAGGGTATTCGTTTTATTTTGGACCAAGGCTACCTTTCATAAGAGAGCTGTATTGAAATAATATGAATGCCGCTTCTGGTAACACGGCAACATGAGGGGCGTAGTTTGTGATGGCCGGTCTCTTGTTCTCAAAGCCACGGAGGGAGAACCAGGCGACAGTGTGTGTGAGGCTCCGGAGACGCCGTTGGTATGTTTCTCCGGTGTTTATTGTGGTTTATGTACTTGATCTGTTGCCTCACTTTGCGAGAGTGCTGTTGCTGACTACTTTTTACGCAGCGCGGTCTGCCTGTGCTCCGTTTGTTTGCTGTGTAATTTAGACAGCGCAGGTGTTCAGATGAGGTTTTCTCTGGTGCTTGTCTCCAAGGAGAGATAAACACTCTTATTAATTCATTTAAGTTAATGATGTGGTTTTAAAATAACAAGTTATCCTTTTAATTAAAACATGGTTTGTGTTGCTATTATTATTATTATTATTGAGAATGCAGTGAGGCCTGCAAAATGTTTGTAATGTGTGTTTGCATGTGAGCTAACATTTGTTTGTACGTTGTGTTTTGAAGGTTTTCAACCTGATGAATTCTTGGAGCTGTCTTAAATAAATAAAGACAAAAAGAACAACATTTGAGTTGTCCAAGCGTCCTCTGTTGCCCTCCAGCCTCTCAAGTCAGGCTAAATCACTGATACAGGCCAAAACCCTGAAGGACTTGACATTTATTGTGAACACAAAGTCAAACAGGACCATCATTTGTTTGTGACAGCTGTGCCCAGTATGGCTCACAGATGCAGTTAGGGGGTTTCTTCATCAGGCCTGGTCCTCCTCCCAGAGAAAGACCTCTCCACCTCAGTCCTCTCCAGCCAAACCATCTGTCACGCTGAGGTTTCTCCCAAAGTCTCTGCAGCTCTCTGGACTCCACGCCGTTTCAGTTGATCCACACTGTGAATATGAGAGGGGAAAACGTGTGTAATAAATGCTTTAGACAATAAGAAATAGGAAGTTAACTGTTGAGTGGCTCATTCTTTTTTAAATAGACAAAACTATTACTGTATTTCAATATCTCACGTCTGAAAGTTTAATTTAAAAGAAGAAGAGGCCCCAAAAATAAAGATTGGTATATCAATAAATGTAGTTGATTTTGTATTTTTAATTGTTTAAAGTAAAGTAGATTGAACTGGTGCTTAAGAGTTTTAATACAGTCTGGTTGTGGAGGAGGCACACAGGTAAGAGCACTAACTAGCTACCATCACGTAACTAAGCTTAACTTGAATTTATTAAAAGTATAATTAAGTAAAAGCAACAAATCAGTAACTAAAATCATGCAAAAATGTGAATCTTTGCTGGATCCACTATTGAATTTACCACATTATATATTTTTAGAAACCTGAAGGCATTTATAGATTTGTATGCAAGTAATATCCCAAAACTCAATACCTTAGATTCTTATAGAAAGTTTTGCTGAATAGTTTCATGTTCACTTACCTTAAGCAACGTAAAACGTGCAGACCGGGAGCAACAGACGTAGGTTAGCCGGCTAGCTGGAGTACATACATAGGTTAGTCTTATATTTACTTACTGTTAACTAACTAATGCTAACATAACTGTCGGCTAGAAGTACACAGCTTAATCAACCATATTTAACAGGCCATTGTCCAGGGGCGGAGGGTACTGTAGGCTAGGGAAGGCTAAGCCTTCCCAAATATTTTTGTCACTGCATCCTGGTAAAATAAAAATATAATGTATAGTTTGTGTCTTTGACATTTGCGCTTCTATGCAGCCACCTGTGCCCTGTGCACTACGAAGCCAGTTCAACAGACCCTGGATATGTTTGAGTTATCTTAACTAACCCAAACAAACGAGATCTCGCTAAGCGGTCCTATGACGCTGGTTATGAACTCGGTAAATCAAGCCAGGGTTTCTCTCTCCAGCTGAGAGCGCATTCACGTGAAAGGGGCGGGGTTAGCAACATTTGACCAATCACAAACAGGGACAAGTGTACTGACGGTGCAGCGTCATACTTCATTAATGAAAAGTAAACTAATATTACAAATATGAACTTTAACCATCCATGACTTAAACATATAGGATATAAGCCACAGAGTTGCACCTGCAAGGAGAATACAGAACAACTGGTTACAAAATAACTACAGAGTGTTTGAAAGCGTACAACAGTTTTATGATATCACTGCCCCATCGACACTAGTGGATCTGACTTTAATTACATTTGACTCGAGTGTTTCGTCAACGTAATGACACTAAGTGTTGCACGGCCAGATACGGCTCGAGAAGCTGACTCAGATAAGGAAATATTGTGATATTATATGATCGATGATCTGATTGAATGTGATATGAATGATAAGTGCGACACGTCGGAGTCTTCTCTGCATACGGCAGTTTAAACTGTATTTCCTTTATCCTGTAATATGACTTGATAGTTTTAAACTCCGCACATGAGCTCTGATTGGTCAGCAGGCGGTGCTTTAAATGAGTTGAGCTCTTTTCTATAGACGCCAGAGGCGGGCAGCATCAGGTAAAAAAAAGTTATTTAGCCTTCCCAAACCTGAGCCTCACGCGCCGCCTATGCCATTGTCCTCTCAGCCTGAAATATCAATCACTTCAATAAATGGTAAAACAAAAAAAGGAAAGGTTCTGGCTCAATTTCGGCTTAAGTTAGCTCATTGCAGCTGTGCATGTTGCTAGCGGGTTGCTAGGCCACCTCACGAGCTGCGCCAGGTGATGTAAACAAGAACACCTCCATAGACCAGACCGTCTCAGTTTGTAGACCGCTCGGCCCGGGGTAGAGCCTACGGCTGCGGTGCCGTTTCTCTATAAATCCATGCTGAATTGAACCTTCTGTTTCGTTCTTCTTCATCTTCTTTAACTTGCAACCAGACAAGCATTATCGCCACCTACTGTATCACTGCAGCATTGTTCTTTGTTAGTTCCGTTTCATTACAATGACTTCCGTTACAGCAAGAATCCCCCTCTCACACACATAGGTGAAACACATGCACATTCCCTACTAAGAACCTTTCAGTAAAATATTTTCAGTTGCGTGTGTGTGAGGTTAATTTTCGGTAGTGTGTGTGTAAGTATTTCAGTAGTGTGTGTGTGAGGCTTAATTTTCAGTTGTGTGTGTGTGAGGTGTTCAGTAGTGAATGTGAGAGTATTTCAGTAGTGTGTGTGCAAGGCCAGATGTTTTCAGTAGTGTGTGTGTGAGGTTAATTTTCAGTTGCGTGTGTGTGAGGTTAATTTTCAGTAATATGTGTGACGCTTAATTTTCAGTAGTGTGTGTGTGAGGTGTTCAGTAGTAAATGTGAGAGTATTTCAGTAGTGTGTGTGCAAGGCCAGATGTTTTCAGTAGTGTGTGTGAGAGGTGAGTTTGAATTTTGGCCTACACGGCCCCTCATAGCTGCAGCCTAATGGGATCCAACCTTTCTGAAGGGTTTTAGAGACATGATTTTAACTGCTCAAATCATTTTTTTTTTTATTTGAACCCAAAAAATGTAAACCTTTGTTTGCATTGTTTATGATTTTACATGTTGCCAATAAAAAAATTAAATACCCACCAGATCTGCTTTATGAGTTTTTACTGTCTCTGATGATCGAAACGACCAGAAACAATATTTAAGAATGGTACACCTATATGCAATGCTGCCTATTCAGCAATATAGAAATCAATTGAGTGTCAATACTCAACCAAGGTCCCACTACAGGCAGTTATTGGTGACAGTGAAATGAGGCACCACCTGGGGGAACAACCCAACCCATGTCTAGATCTGTCTCTGAACATTTGGTTTGAAGTAGCTCCTCCAAAAGCCCGACATTATACAATCAAACAAATAAACAAAAGGATAATTGTGTCTTATTGTTGAGTAAATAACAGTGTGGTTTAGAAAAGAATACAACATTTGAAGGAAAAACTATGAAACAATACAGATTTCAGTATTCTGAGCCCCTACTCTCCCACTAACTGACGGCAACAAAAGTCCTACATTATTCAATTAAAATAAAGAAGTAAACACAATAAGTTTGGCTTGATATTGAGTAAGAAAAAGGTTGATAAACGCTGTGAGAATGGATCTGCGGAGAGCATTTTGCCGCGATCCCAACTCGAGTTGAAACTCGATGCTTAAGGACCCCCCCCCTTGAGTTGGAAAGTGACGACAGGGACCCTGACATAACGTCAACATAGGCCGAGTTGGGAGTGAGAATGTGTTGGATCTGTCTAGTAGTGGCTCTTTTTCTAAGCCCAGCGTTTCCTGGAGTAGTTTAGCTACAAAGTCTGTTGGGTTCTTCCCAGCCTCCCCGTTTTTCTTGTATCCCGGTGATTGCACCTCCTAGACCGCGCCTCCAGGTCCTCATTCCTGTCAGAGAAGATTTTCATGTCCTTTTTTAGCTGCTGCACGTCTCGTTCGAGAGTGGTAACGAGTTCCGAGTGATCATTAGCAGCAGTACCCAGGCTTTCGACCCGGTCCTCCAAAGCCTTGGTGCGGCTGCTGACGCGGTCAACGGCGGAACTCAGCTCGTCCCTCAGCTCGTCCCTCAGTTGGCTTATTTCACGTCGTAATTCTTTAGACTGCATCTCGGCGTTGTCATCAATTTTTTTCAGCTGGTCTTCTCTGAGAGATTGAATGGCCTGTAGAATGGCGGCCTCATCACCTCTTGCTGCACTAGCGGCTTTAGCCGGGCTAGCACTATTAGCACTATTAGCTTTCGGATCTGGCGCAGCAGACGCCTTTTTGCGAGAGGAAGACGACATATTCCAAATGAAACTGTCGGGCGGAGGCAAGGAAGAACAGCTTAGATTAAAGTTACTTGAATATAGTGTAGAAGGTAGTTGCCTATTATAGATATTCTGATTCTGGCGAGGATCTCGAGAAATGCGACCTCACATGGCTCTGCTCAGACCGGAAGTCGGATGAAAGCTCTTTAATGGTCACACATGCAGAGCACACAGCACACACAGTGACATTTGTTCTCTGCTTTTAATCCATCCTAGTACCAGGAGTCTAGTACTAGGAGCAGTGGGCAGCTATTGTACAGCGCCCGGGGAGCAATGGGAGTGAGAGGGGAAGGGGGATGTCTCAGGGTTTCCCACACATAGACTTTACTTGGGACTTACAGACCGGTTACATATTCATACATTTCCAATGTATAGGGTTTTGTGTGCAAATGGCAGTTGATATTCACTCTTTAAACTCAGTATTTTTGTTGATTCTATTTTCAGTACTCTGACCCAGTTTCCCCAACAAGCTTCACTCCATCTGTATTCAAATTGGAGTAGAGTACTGATATGCCTCAGTAATATTATATTTGCAACAGGAAGTTGCTGATACTATGGTTGCCTGCCGCTTCCACACCGGAGAAATACCAGCCATCCATCACCTACAGGACACCTGTCATACACATTCATCATCTTTCACCACTGCTGTCACACAAACCCAAAAAAAAAGAAAGGTAAACACACACACATAAGCACACAAGTCACTTGGATAGAAATGTATCCTTCATCTTCAGCCCCGTACAGTCTCACACTGGGAGGAAAAAACACACAGCACACATAAAGTGACGCCTACGCGCACATGGGAGTCATTCAGTCAGA